AAATCTCTACTTTCAAAATCAGTAATTGATATTTCAATCTAACTGATCTTTGACGGAGCTTTACGGATACAAATGGATATTTGTCAAATCTAAAACATATCGTATAATTTTGTACACACTTTACAAAGGTCTATGGCATGAAGTAAAAATTACACAAAAATGCGGTTTGCAGCAGTCGAAAGAATAAATCTTTACCTTCAATTTCCTTTTTTATTGATTGTTGTACGATTTTTTTCCACCGAGTTATTGAACGTTAAAGTAGAAGTGATCACTTTTGCTTCATCGTTCAATAATTCGGTAAAAAAAAATCATAGTTTAATAAAAAAATAAATTAAAGGTAAAGATCCACTCTTTCGACTACTGTAAACCGCATTTTCGTGTAATTTTTACCTCACGCCATAGACCTTTAAAGTTTGTAAAAAATTTTTAGATTTGACGGATATCCATTTGTGTCCATATAACTCCGTAAAGTATCAGTCATATTGAAATTTCAATTATAGATTTCGAAAGTAGAGATTTCAACCTTTAAAATCTTTTTTAATTTTGCGTCCGCGATGATTTTTCATTGAATTATGGTGTTCTGAATATTGCTCAATTTTTAGCATGTTTGAAAGTGTTCCCTAGATTTTGTTGAGTAGTGTATTATTATACATTTAACAACAATACGCGAAAAATTTCTTTTATGTTACGTAATATTACTAAAATTTGGATAATTACAGAAAATATTCAAAATATCCTGCTATTTACATAATTTCCAATATAAAGTAAGATATATTTACACAATAAAAACAAATTTACATCATTTTTGTGGAATTACATAATTTCTGTAAAATTGCACGATTTTTTATATTTACAGAACTAATCATGTAATCTATTTTATACTTATTATATGTGTAAATTTACGAAATTTTTTTACAGTGTAAGTGGCTTGTGTCGTATCGTGTCCAATCATGTGCAAAGTAACGATAAAAGTAACTGTAAAATTCGTTACCGTTACCAAAAAAATGTAACTTTAATACTGTTATAGTTACCAAATAAAAAAAGTAACGCAGTTACTAGTAAAGTTGCCAAAAAAGTAACTTGTAACTGTAACTTTGTTACAAGTAACGAGTTACTTCCATTCCCTGCTGCTATTATAGAGTAGAGGTATGGTTGATACTAGTATACAGTTGCTAGCAAAATTATTTAGATATTAAATCCCTGTAAAATAATTTCTATTTATATTTAAATACCTGAAACAGGGATAGAACACCTGATGTACCAGCAACCAGAGCCACAGTGGATGATGGATGAAATTCCACACTTGTAATAATAGGGCCTTCTGTGTGAGTGCTCTTATTCAAAGCTTTGAGCACTTTGATGTCAATAACATTTTTTGGTAGATTTTTTATTTTTGGTGCTTCCAAATGGCAACTATGCTAAATATGGAAAATGAAGAAAGAAATTTAAGATTTAGCCCATTGAACAGAAAAGTTTCAAGAGGCTGAGGTAAAGAGAAATACCTTCAAGATATTACTATCCAAGACATCGGTTTCATCTTTTCTTTCAAGTTTAGCCCATTTAGGAGTACCCACAAACAATTTGTACCTATTCTCTAAATATGTTGTATATAATTTTTCCGATCTCTCATATGGTAAATTGTGATTTTGCGAATTTAGAGTCAAATCTACACTGTCATAAAATGTAAAAACTCATATAATAGAAAAGAAATATACAACATAAAATATAAAATATTTTTTCTTTTTACGTGTAAATGTAATCGTCTTCATCTATCCATGCCAGTTTCTTTTTCTCCTTTTTTGTATTGTTGCTATGATTTAAAATTGAAATATTTTGATCTGATTCATCCTCGCTATCTTTACTGTTCATGTTGTCATCCATGTTATCATCTCTAATCTTTTCACAAACATCATCTTTTGTCTTCGTTTTGGACTTGTCATCTAATAAATTATTTATAATATCACTAGGATTACCAAAAACTATTTTTTCTAACCTGTAAATTGAATATATTATTAAATATTTGTAGGGAAGATTAAAAAGATCACTGTGCGCATATCTTAAATCGGCATCACACAATGCTTTTTTCTCTGCTGGATTAGAAAAAAAGCTTTGTGTGTCGTTGACTTTACTTATATTTTACCTGGCTTCTTCATTAGCATCATATTCATTTTTCCGTTTTTTCCTCAAAGGCGCCATGAGCTTCCGATTATACAATACTTTAAACTGTGTGTGCCCTTCGACTTTATACTTGTCATTCGTATTACGTTTAAAGGTATTTTTATATTTAATCATTTTATTCATTTTACTTTATCCGATAGAACTATAAATTCAAGATTATGATTAGAATAAAATACCAAGGTAATTATTTACTAAATCCAAGTCACCCCAGAAATAGATGAAATTAGGCTCAATCAAAGCGTTTTTGTCCGAAACGTACGAATCTGGTCGAGAAAAGCGTTTTGTTCTGCGAAACTTTGCACAAAAATGACCCCCGTTCCATCAACGAAACTTTTACGAAATAGATACGGCCAGAACGAAGGTAATACTTCGCGCGCGAAACAAGGTATTACAATTTCACGTACTGCTAAAATAAGGGTAATTATACAGTTTACCTCCAAAGTCAATAAAATTAGGCTTAATCGTTTTCACATGAAACGAAAGAATTTGGCAAAAAAAAAGCGTCGCTTTGCCCGTGAACCGAGAGAGATATTAAGCGTTAAATTTGATAATTACCGAGGTTGAGAAATTTGTCTGCCACGAAATACTGCAATCAGAGAGAAACATGAAAGAGGACATGATGGCCCAAAACCTGTAATTGCAAAATGCAACCGCGTACTACTGCCCTCTGACAAAATGGATGAAACTACATTGCAACATACACTTTTCTTAGGCCGGTATTTAAGGCCCGTCTACAATACACGGAGTAAGAAGTAAGAGTAAGAAATTGACCAATCACAGGCGATTATTCTTCCCACATTCGACTGTGATTGGTCAATTTCTTACTCTTACTTCTTACTCCGTGTATTGTAGACGGGCCTT